ATACTTATTTCAAGAGTTGTTGCCTCTGATATATTGGGTGATTAGTTATTTTTTTGTGACTTGTATAAAGGGTAACTATACGTCGCATGCTACATCAATATGTCAGTGTGAGCGGTTTAGCAAATATTGAGGAAAACCGGAAAACCTATCTTTAGGGTGCCGATGCATCGTGGAAAACTGCTATTTCCTCGAATATTACTAGCCCTATCGATATCAAGTAGGAGTATATCATTCACGCAAATATACCACAAAAAATGGGATTGTTTCTACTCTTAACCCCTTCTGTATGGTACACCCCTCATTGAATTTTTGTGATTCTTAGCTCACATATTCAGGAAAAACCATCTTTATGAAGGGGCTTTAGGTCCTTAGGAAGCATAATATATCTCGACAAATATTTATAGGAACTTTTTGTGATTGAGATCAGGAATCACCCAATGAATTTTTCACTTTTGTTTAGGAAACACCCTGGATAGCATGAAAAAACCAAGGACATAGATGGTTGCTGAAAATTAAGAAAATATATATTTTTTAAAAACCTATTAGTTTTTATACGAAGTAAGAATACCAACTTTTTCAACTCCCTGTATAATATTTCTTTCGGTTAAGGTTTATTCAATTTTTCTTTCAGCTTCAACACAAACATTTGAGCGAATATATCAGTGAACAAAATGAAGTTGGTAAGTATAATATATTTCCTCCCACCCAAGACCAAAATCAATGAAGTTGGCTATAGGAAATTGGTTCATAAGTTGAATGGTAATCCATTAAGCAATTATACAGGGGGAAATAGTGGAGGGAAGATCCCTGACACAAGAATAAAAATTATGTCCTATATATAATTTTTGTTTCAAGAAACTACATCAGGTTCGTGTTTAGGAAAGATTTTTTTCTAAATATCCTGTAGTCTCTGTTTAATGAAACCTCGATTAAACCTTCCTAACAACACGAGTACATCCTAGGGACGTCCCTAATTTCAAACTAGGACATCCCAGGGATATCCTTCTTGGGACAAAGTACATACTAAGGACGTCCCAGGGACATCCGCTTTCAGACAAAAAGGACATCCAAGGGATGTCCCTTCTGGTATACGTCCCTGGGATGTACCGAGTACGAAGAAGGGATATCCCTAGGACGTCCCAAGGATATCCCAGGGACATCCCTTCGACAAAAGAAAAAAATTGTAGGTCGAGTAGGGATTGAACCCGGAACCTTCAGCTTATCAGGCACGCACCTTACTCCATTGGCTAATGTTCCTTCTGAAGATTCATGTATTGAACAGATTTATGAACAGGACTAAACTACAGAAACCTGAATAAATAATTTGTTAGGATTCGGGTATAATTATTATCATTCTTGGGTGTTTAAAATTGAGGGGCATTATGCATTTACGATTTCTGTTTGCGAAAAATGGTCATTTCTTGAGAAGTTTTGAGACTATTTTCTTCATTTTCATTATGTGCAATCATTTCCCGGAAGAAATACATTTTCGAAAAAATTCGACTCAATATTTTGATGAAATTCAATGACTCTCTGATGTGAATGGATATCAGATATTCCAGGGCAACGAATGGGATAACCTAGGGATGTACCGGGCGGGATGTCAACTGGACAACCCTCGGGACAACCACTGTGGGACATCCCCTGGATATCCCAATCATGTCCTTGACTGCGGGTCAAAAAAGGGACGTACCTAGGACACCCCTGTGTTGTTAGGGCTACTCAATTGTTTTTTGAAAATAAGAACCTAGTGAATTGAAAACTACCGCGGTCTATGAGAAGTATATGGGTCATTCTTCAAAACGGGGACAAATTGACAAGGATATTCAATAAGAATGAAAAATGTGTCAAAATCGTTTAATATTCATCCAGTTGTCGTATTTGAACATAATATATCTCATATTGAACAGGCCAAGAATTGGATAATTTTTTAATCGATTTATGCTGAAAAAACTGAGAACTCTTCCCATGGAGTTGACGACCTCACCCATGGAGTTGACGATTTCATCCATGTAGTCGAAAACATTAACATAAACACAAAATTTCTTTTCTGTTATTACCTAGAAATAAATAACAATCTCATTAGAGTTTTGTTTTGATCATATAAATGTTAAATATTAGTACCTTCATAAAATGAATGAAGATTCCATGGAGTTGACCAACATGAAAATGATGCAGATATAAATACTACATGTGCTATCAAAAACTCCCAATGAAAAACGGTTGAGTCGTCTAAAAATCAGAAACATTGGAAAATTGAAAGAAAAATGAAAAATTTTCCGATTATTTGATCCGAAAAACAGCTTTCATTTCAAACTATTGCACAATAAAATTGGATCATCTTTGAAGAGGAATCGATTCCTTCGTAATACCTAAGGATTCGCCACTTTCTTGATGATACAATTGAAATTCACCTCAGATAGATCTTCTTCTTGAGGCCAGATGAAAATCAAATTATTTTTGTTATAGGATACTCGTCTCATGAAGATTATTTCATAAATAGCTCCATGAATAGCATTCACGTTTGAGAACTTCTCCACGGGAAATGTTCTTCAGAAATCTCTGCTACCATACCTTCACTAGCAATACCAGTCAGACGAACTAGACAAGCCCAGTCAGCACATCCTTTCGTTGTCAACCTCGAAAGATGTCGAACAGCACTTTATCAAAACTCCTTCATTCATAGAACGGCTAGGCTGTGGTATTCATTGCCTGGGGAAGTATTCCCAACAACATATAATCTCCAGAAAGTCAAAAAAGTTCCAATACCTACCTCCTATCCCTATCCTCCCTAGGAACGCACGATGTTCTTTGAACATTATAGGCATTCCCTTTCGTGCGCTCCAAGCGATAAAAAAAAACAGTTGGCGTCTAACCTCCTTTGATATTTTTTGCCCTTTTGTTAGTTCGGCAACTTTAATTCTCGGAGATTCTCGATTTATTTTGATAGATTGACTTTTCATTCTGTAGTATTTTGTTTTGTATCGTATTGCCTTATTCCTTCTGTACATATCTCGTTCTTTTTGGACATCTTTCAGTTTTCTCACTGTCTGGAAAAGTTTTTTGAGCACTCGTTTTCTTCCCGCAGCAGATCTTCCTGATGAGCCTGGAATATTCTCAGGATGTACATTAAATGAAGCATCCAATCGTGTTGTTGATGGGGGAGTAGTTTCTTCTAGAAGCCTATTCAAATTTTCCTGAGTCCTTCTTTTTTTATATATTCTGAAGATGTTTGTCTCCAGAATTATCATTCCTTATCCTTATCTGTCTTTTCTATCTGTCGTTTCTTTCGTTGATTGTTTTGATTTTTCCTGCATTTTTTCGTTTGATGGTATCTTTCACGTTCTTTGCGCTTCGCTTCTTCATATAAATGAGGATCCAGTCTTATTCTTCCTCTCTTTCTTTGCTCAGACTCCCTTTTCAGTTTTCTTCATTTATCTTATGATTTTTCTTTTTGCTTCAATATACCTACACCGAATAAAAAAATCTGATGAAATATGAAAATATGATGTGAAATAGAATGTGTGCATCGCTTTTTATCACATTCTGTTCGATTGTAATTATCATCTAAACTCGAGTATCATTGAATCTGAGCACATATGTGATGTGGAATTTCAATCAACGCAATTTTCCGAAGTGAAACAACTCCATGGACTTGTTGCTCAACTCCATGGACATCCAAATACATGGAGTTGATGTCCATGGAGTTGGTGTTCTATTGTTAATATTAAAATATTCACACTGCTATTAAACCTGACCTCGAATTATTTCTCATGCATGTAAGACATTGTTTGTTATATATTACTAGGATATTCAACGAATCTAAATGGGCTCAGTTTATTTGTGATCAACGACATGGAGTTGATTGTTAATAAAAATACTCACCTTGATTTCTAACTTTGTCTCCAGAATCCCGAATAAATTGCTTAAAGTTAACACGTTTCCCTGACAATCTTCAACGAACTGCTCTTGCTTGAAATGATGACACCTTGAAACATTACCTCAGGTAACACCTATCGGTAGTTCTGACAAAAATAACAGGCGTCCATGGAGTTGAGTTTCAAAATGGTGTCACATATTATTCATACATTTTACAATAACATTTCGGTGAAATTTCCTCTTTGCTTATACTCTCGTTATTGTTGAATCCCTTGAGAATATATTAACTGAAAAATAGTTTCATAATATTGTTCATTTAGGGGTTTTTGATTGATTCCATTTCACCCATAGCAGCTGGCTACAGTCCATGGAGGTGATTTCAAAGGAGTTTCTGCTTATAAAAATGGAAAAATATATGATTTTTTTCGTTCTTTTTTCAACTCATGTGAAGCACAAGCCATAAGCTATCATCTTCAATGTTTTTCAAGTTCCAACCTATTTGCTATATATTTTTCACATATGAATTACATCATATTGTCTCCGTTCTGGAGAATGACCCATATATACATACCATCTACCACATCATCGATATTATCATGATAGGATATACAGGATGTTCCTAAATATCGTCTGATCTCTACAGTTCCACTGAGGCTGACATCTTATATATATAGTTGCCAAAATACGTATTTCGACTTATCTAAATATTAATGTGTCATTTCAGATATTTTTTGTAATAGATTATATTTATCCAGTCTCCAAAACTTCATTTGAACAACGTGTGAATATGCCAACTCTCACCCTTCCCATTTCATTGCTACGTCACTGTGTAGCACCAGACGTCACAAGAATTAAAAAAAAATGAACACCGTTCGCACTGATAACACCATAAATTATTGGTATTACATTCCATCTATTATACCCCACTACCAAACCACACTGATGATATCATTCGCTGGATTTCCAGTCTTACAAAGCAGATTCCGATCGAGACTCTCAAACAAAACAACCAACGCACTGTCTCGCAGAACAGTGAACTTTTACTCTCTCCCGCGGTGCAAGCCTTGCATTAGTGACTATAGTGACTCAGTTCCCAATTCGTTGCATGAAGGCATATAGAAATGTCTGCGGCAACAGCGAACAAAGAAGGCAAGAAAGGACAGTACAAAGACTACGTGAACTTCTTGGATAACTACAAACAGGAAAGACCACACGGTGTTAGTGAGGATCCGACAGAAATGTCAGGCAAAAGCTTCAAAGATTATATGGAAAGCTACAGCACCAAGTTGTATCAACCAGTACAACCAACCTTCAAAAAAGACACCACCACCGTCAAAAAGGAAGGAGAAAAACTAGTGAAGTCTGAAGTTTTTCTTCAAATAGACAACGAGACCAACACAACAAGGCGGATTACCAAAACTTTCCATTTGAATGCAGACCATCAAAAAAACTCAAGTGAACCATCAAAGACTTTGCGGCACACAAATTCATTCAAACACAACAGTGTACATCAAGAAGAAAACAACATCTATGAAAACACGAAGAAATCTTTGAGGAAGACCTCGAGCATCAAAGAAAAAAGAAGAGTGTTTGAGGAGAACCAAGAAAAAGTCGTGAAACCTAAACGCACAGAACTGAGCCCAAACAAAAACAACGTAACAACAAATATCATCAAACAACAAGAAGAAAACAAAACCTGGTTACAATCTAAACCACCAAGCAGAAGTTCTGAAAAGAAGGATTATGTCGGGGAAAGTGCACAACCTAAAGCAGTTGAATCTTCTCCCACAGTTGCGATAAAACATAATGCAGTGACCAAAACCTCTCAGATAGCAACAGCCTCATGTTTTGTCCCACCACCCCCACCAGCACCACCACAACCATTAACCTCTGCAATTGCAAAAGTATCCACCAAACCTTCCGAAAAGGCAAATCTTCATTCAGTAAAAAAACTAGCCCAATCTAAAGCAATAAGTATTCCTGAAAGGAACCGAATCGATGAAATTATACAGCCTGAAGCAATAGAAACCAAAGCAGTGATTAAACCCTCGCAAACAACCCCAAACACATCGACAATCCCTCCACCTCCACCATTACCTCCTGCAACCACTAAACTATCTACCAACACGAAACCTGTTGCGTTTTCGAAAACTGTTGCTTCTTCCAAGCCTGTCGGTACCCAGCCAGCGATACTCACAGGCCGCAATACTTTGCCCAAAATACAGAGTGATAGTACGGATACAGCCCCCAAATTGGACAAGAATGACCCAAGGGTGAAGAAATTGGTGTACGGGGCTCTGAGAGAGATGTACGGGACTTATCACGACAAAGCTAACGACTATTTGGCGACTCTGCCTAAGAGTAGGGTTAAGAAGAATAATGGGTTGGATAGTATTATCAATAGTATTGCGTAAGTACCATTTCCGTTTTTGTTAATTGCTATTTATAGACCTTGATTGTTTCTCACCACACTGTGGTTTGATTATTGATGTATATACGTATATGTATTTACGTCATTTTTCATTTCCTCCAAGGTGGCATTGAATTTTGAAGAAACCGTGAAGTTTCTGAGGAAAATTTCAATATAGCAATATACTATTTTCAGACATGCCTTCATCACTGAAAGTTCCAATTTAGAACTTTAAAAATGTATACTAGAGGTAGTATACAGGGTTTCCCAAAAGAACCGGAACGGTCGAATATTTCAGCAACGACTTGACATAATGATATGAAATTTGGTGTACGGGGGTTATCAGTAGTGCTGGATCTGAAAATATTATTCGCAACGTTGCCAGATTTACAGTTTTTCCTATGGATCCCTCAACTTTATTTTTTCAAATGTAATGCTATATATAATTTCAGCTCATTCGATTTGTCATGTTCTTTAATATCATATTTTAATTCGCCAAATTTCTGTTAATATGGCAATTCAACATTTCGATAAAAAATATCACCAAATTTCAATATCTCGAGAAATCGTATAGCGTTATGACAATGAGAATTAATTTATTAGAAATCTGTTGTCAAGTCTCATCTAATAATATCATTTACAACGTTGTCATATTTACATGTTTTTTTCACGAAATCTTCCTAAGTATTTATTTAAACTTCTTCACTTAACAAGAAAACCATTTAATCTTGATAATAAACAGATGGTTGACAACAATAACAATAAAAGTTGATCAGCTATTTCCAAAGGCCACTTTATACATCTTGATTCTAACAATATTTATTAAAGTTCTGTTATTATCGGTTAAGAAAGTACATAACGTACGAATTTTCAGAACTAAAATTCGATTCAAGATTCGAACATAATCAATAGGGTTTGGTTTGTTTCAGTATTCAGTTGAAAAAATGTACCTAACTTTATGGTATCAACTAAAATTTAAAAAGGAAGTTTAGATGCTACGATTGCTCGAGATATTGAAATTTGGTGATATTTTTTAACGAAATGTTGAATTTCCACTGTAAATCTGGCAACGTTGCAAATCTTTTGGTTGGGACGCCCTGTATATGGCGTTAAAGTTGACAAGGAGAAATAAGTTCCAATGAATTGCTACATAAAACCCTTGAAAAACCGCCCATCAAATATTATATTCAGGGTGTTTGAACTTATATTCGCAAAAATTCAATACCTAGGCAATAATAGCACTCGTAAATATAAATCGAAAAATCATGTGAATTTGTATGTTTTGGAGCTTTGTTTTCGAGCTACAAGGTGTTGAATTCTGTCGAATGAATAAGATTTTTATCGAGGGGTAAATCACGTGGGAAGTTTAGTGTACAGACACAAGGAAGTTCGAGGAAGTTTGGGGAAGTTCGAGGAAGTTCGAGGAAGTTTGGGAAGTTCGAGGAAGTTTGGGGAAGTTCGAGGAAGTTTGGGAAGTTCGAGGAAGTTTGGGGAAGTTCGAGGAAGTTTGGGGAAGTTCGAGGAAGTTTGGGAAGTTCGAGGAAGTTTGAGGAAGTTCGAGGAAGTTTAGGATGTTCGGAGAAATTTGAGGAATTTCGAGGAAGTTTGGGATATTCGAGGTAGTTTGGTAGAGTTTGAAACATTTCGTGATGTTTAGGTAGTTTTGAGAACAGAAAGCAATGTTTAGTCGGATATTCATTTCTCGATTTTTTCATTTCGGCAAATAATAGAGATGATGTTAGATAACTCAATAATACCTACCTACCTGAAAATTCATGGTACTGAAAAATTGCATTGCATAGGTAATTAGATCGGTAATTGGTTAGAAGGTTGATTTCTGTTGGTGGATTATTCAAAGTTGTAAGTCTAATTTCATTTTGTATTGTATTACAATGCAGATTTTCATGACATTCAGTTTAAAATTCCTTCCAGTAAAGTACTTTTAAGTTAAGGTATACTCACCTATACCTCTGCCTATACATATACGTACAGTCAGATGCAATGAACATGTCGCACTATGGCGGTGATGGCACCTATCTAGTCACCTCTGCAATAAGAGCGCTAACACCATCCAACCGCGATATTTTACTTTGCATCTAACTGAACCTACCTATACCTACCTACCATAGGGAAAGGAAAAAAAGTTGAATCAATCAATACTAAATTGCTTACCTGGTTTGTGAAGTTTGAAAAGTTTTGGGAAGTTTAGGAAGTTCGAGGAAGTTTGGGAAGTTCGAGGAAGTTTGGGTAGTTCGAGGAAGTTTGGGAAGTTCGAGGAAGTTTGGGAAGTTTGAGGAAGTTTTGGGAAGTTCAAGGAAGTTTGGGGAAGTTCGAGGAAGTTTGGGGAAGTTCGAGGAAGTTCGAGGAAGTTTTGGGAAATTCGAGGAAGTTTGGGGAAGTTCGAGGAAGTTTGGGGAAGTTCGAGGAAGTTTGGGAAGTTTGAGGAAGTTTTGGGAAGTTCGAGGAAGTTTGGGAAAGTTCGAGGAAGTTTTGGGAAGTTTGGGAAGTTCGAGGAAGTTTTGGGAAGTTCGAGGAAGTTTGGGTGATTTGGGGAAGTATGGGAAGTTCGGCGGAGTCTGAAACATTTCGTGATGTTCAGGTAGTTTTGGAGGTTCGAGGATGTTTGGGAAGTTTCCGAAAGACCAAGCAAGCTGTAGGATGTCTGTGAACATTTGGGCGGAGCCGGTCGGGAAAAATCTTTGGCTATATAATCCAAGAAACTTAATATCTCAGGATATACAGAGCTGTGGTGACAAAAGCCTAGGGGAGATTTCTCTCAACAAATTATGAAATCAAGTTCCGAATAAAAATGGGTCCGAAAATGCTTCGTTTCCGAGATACAGGGTGTCCAAGCCGAAAGAATTATATTTTTTATTATTGCTAGAGGCTTCTGTCAAGGCTTTTGTCGACACAACTCTGAAACACCCTGTATAGAAATAATATTTCACATAATTTCAAAGAGTTCATTATCATTTCGGAACTTTCAACAGATGCTGTTAGATAAGTCCTCGGATAAGTCAATAGTACCTAACTACCTAAAAATTCGTGGTACAGAAAACCTGCATTGCATATTATGTAATTATGGTTTGATAGTTGATTTCTGTCGGTGGATTAATCAAAATTGTAATAAAGTGGAATTCCATTCTGTATTGAAATACAGTGCAGATATTCATGACATTCAGTTTCAAATTCCTTCCAGTAAAGTACTTTCAAGTTTAGGTACCCACCTATATATACATAAACGTAGGTAATACCCGGTAATACCTACCTATACAATGTGATCTGGTTTGTAATACAAAATATTCAACAGTGTGTTGTACTCGGTTGAAATTATAAGAAAAATCATATAAACATATACTTTCAACCGCTTCGTTTTCGAGATATAGGGTGTTTAAAATACGAGTCTGAATATTGTTTTTTGATGAAAAGTTCGAAACGGTTTGAGATAAATCCACAAAATCACCCAAGATACTTAACTTTTTAAGCTCTATAAAATGAAATGAAGATTATGTATAATGAATGCAATAAAAGTATTTCATTATTTCAACAAGAACACCACACTGTTGAATTTTTGTATAACAAACCGGACCACCCTATATACAGAGTGACCCATTTGAAAGCGGGCCAACCCTGTATCTCACATAATCGTTGGGTAAGGACCATGAAATTTGCTGGAGCGAGAGATATACCAGAAATGCACTCTATAACCAAGTGAGGTCATCTTCAGTGATATACACTGCTCGCCAACAGCCATGAAACCACCCCAATTTCCTGAAAATGATATTAGGAGTCAAAATAGGTTGAAAATCACTTCGGATTCGGAATCAGGACGCCCATTCCACTAACTATTCATATTTTTCCTTGAAAATTGTCAGTTCTGAAACATTAGATTTTGTCGCACTTTTCATGGAAGCGCACCCCCGTATCTCACGTAATTATTGTGGTAGAGGGTTCTAAAATTTGCAGGAGGAACGGAAAGTCCAAAGATGAAGTCAATTACGTGAGATACGGGGGTGCTTCCGTGAAAAGTGCGACAAAATTTTATTTTTCAGAACTGAAAATTTTCAAGGAAAAATATGAAGAGTTAGTGAATTGGGCGTCCTGATTCCGAATCCGAAGTGATTTTCAACCAATTTTGACTCCTAATATTATTTTCCGGAAATTGGGGTGGTTCCATGGCTGTTGGAGAGCAGTGTATATCACTGAAGATGACCCCACTTGGTCATAGAGTGCATTTTTGGTATATCTCTCGCTCCAGCAAATTTCATGATTCTTACCCAACGATTACGTGAGATACAGGGGTGACCCGCTTTCAAATGGGTCACTCTGTATATACCTACAATAAGAAAAGGAACAAATTTTGAATCTATCAATACTAAATTGCTTATAAGTACTTGGTTTATGACGTTTGATGAAACGTTTCGGGAAGTTTAGGAAGTTCGAGGAAGTTTGGGAAGTTCGGGGAAGTTTGAGGAAGTTCGAGGAAGTTTGGGAAGTTCGAGGAAGTTTGGGAAGTTTGAGGAAGTTCGGGGAAGTTTGGGGAAGTTTGAGGAAGTTCGAGGAAGTTTGAGGAAGTTTGAGGAAGTTCGAGGAAGTTTGGGGAAGTTCGAGGAAGTTCGAGGAAGTTTGGGAAGTTTTGACCCATGGGAAGTTTGGTGTACAATTTTTTTCGCCGTGATTTACCCCTCGATTTTTATTCACAACTCCAAAACTTGATGACCTGCCAGAGGCCCCTAAAAAATTTACCCTATAGTAGTGCTCCATTGTTCTTTCTAGTTTTCATATTTTCATTCGATTCAACAATATAGAATAGAATACAACTTTCCCGTTCCTCGAGTTTTTCCATAATAATATATTGCCTGGTTTTCAATGAGAATAATGAACACTGGGAATGCATTTTTTCTACTCTCATGACACAGATGGCATAATTATGTAGCATACGGATATGTTCCATTAATCACATTACCATGGCAACAGAGTTTTTCAAACACACCTTTAGT